CGTATTGCACAATAGTACAACAGACATTGCCAAAAGGATTGAAATATTATCAATTTGCTTCAAAGCTTGGCAAAATTGATCTCTAAAACATTACTTCACAACAACCAAGACTGATTCAAGGACTAAATTATCATTTTCAAGGACCTTTCCTCCAAATTCAAGGACTTTTCAAGGAAAATTTGCATTTTTAAAAAGACTTTTCAAGGACCTAGCTCCAAAATCAAGGACTTTTCAAGACTGTACGAACCCTGATTGACTACAATATTTTTTTTCATATTTTGTCAATACTGTTCATAATYAATATGCTAAATGTCGATAGATTTCCACCCGTGATCCTTTTAGGTCTAATAGTGTAGGGTGAGCACCCAGGAGSGMAAAAGAAAGTTRATCAAWAATGTCTGTAACAAGCAATCATACCTTGTGATTTGTAATTRATSTTCTTGCATTCAGGGTCATGACATTTCTGATAGTAGACACCTCGTTTCAAATCAGCCACCATTCTGGACATCAGACGAGTTACAATCGTTACAATAGATTTGAAAGGAGCGCAAGACAGAACAAGTGACGAGAACGAAGAAAAAATGAAGACAAAAGAAGGAGGTAATAGTGGAATAGATTAGAAGAAAGTGAGAAGTAACAGATAAAGAAATGAAAGAAAAGAGAGAACATTAAATAATAAAATACTGAGAAAACGAAGGAAAGGTCACCAAAATAAAGATGATGGAAAGAAAACAGCGAATAATGGAAACTAGAGGTAAGAACATGGATGAGAAGATTTGTGAGACGAAGTCAAAAGAGGGTCGACAAGAAGAAGAAGAAGAAGAAGAAGAAGAAGAAGAAGAAGAAGAAGAAGAAGAAGAAGAAGAAGAAGAAGAAGAAATAATGAAGAAAGAAACCATCAATAATGAATGTACTCACATAATATGGTTGCTTTTGTGAGGTCTGCAAATATTCTCGCACCAACGATTTTTGTCAACATCAAACATGAGGACTTTACCTGTCAATCAAATAAACCAAGATGGCATCTCAATCAACAAACAAAATAACGATATAGAAATGGAGGGAATATCAGCTAGGTCGGAAATTAATTTTTGAAAATTTATTTCCAAGGGTATTTCTTGTGGAATAGCTTCCCTCTAAGTGATATAACTGTCCATCATTTCTTATATCATGTATCTCAGTGCCATGTGGTCATAATCATATATTTGACTATGTAGTAAGCTTTTAACAGTCGGCAAATCGTTTTTTTTTCTGTCTCACAGTCGATGCACGAATTCAGCATTGTTAATGTTCTAATACATGATCCAAGTACTGTAGAGGTATTGGTAGTTGTGCATGTGGCTCATCATACCTTGTGAAAAATAGACCCATCTTCTAATCCTYCCCTGGACACCGCCTTTGTTGATGACAGTAGAAATATAGTCGTCAATGCGTGGATATGGAGAATGTTCGTAGCCCGATGGCGTTACATCTCGTGAATCTAAGATATAACAAAAATCAACACCAATTACACTATGACGTCACAATTTACATGTTTAATGGGCGCCCTTGAAAACGAGTTTTCAATTCCAGGACTTTTCAAGGATTTCAAGGAGAAGCACACAAACCCTGTATTGCAACATATAGGTCAATAGACAACCTGCAGCGACGCCATTTTGTGCGACAAAGCATATTGAGAGTTAATTAAAGTCCTCACACTTTTCAAGTTAGCTAAGAGGTTTTGTCTCTTTTTCGCAAGAAAAGAAGTATTTCTGCTGTTTTACAAAGGAAACATAAAAAATATGGCTTTTAGGGAGATTTTTGGGTTACGTATATAAAAAGCGCAAGGACTGCAACTTCTTTCATGCTTTGGTCAATGGCGTCGCTGCACATCGCCTATCATCCATATTCAGATAATAGATTTTTATAGCGAAAGCTTGAATTGGGAGAATTGCAATTAGTATGCCGCATAAGGTAAGTACTCACTAGAAGCTGTTCCGTGTGATCTTGGACGTTTACCGAGTCTCGTTGTGTCGCACTCAAACGTCAGGATTTTCACGTCACGTTGATTAGTGTCGCTGTGACTGATGAAAAAATGGAGCCATCATTATAATCACAAAAAAANTCTCTTTTTCGCAAGAAAAGAAGTATTTCTGCTGTTTTACAAAGGAAACATAAAAAATATGGCTTTTAGGGAGATTTTTGGGTTACGTATATAAAAAGCGCAAGGACTGCAACTTCTTTCATGCTTTGGTCAATGGCGTCGCTGCACATCGCCTATCATCCATATTCAGATAATAGATTTTTATAGCGAAAGCTTGAATTGGGAGAATTGCAATTAGTATGCCGCATAAGGTAAGTACTCACTAGAAGCTGTTCCGTGTGATCTTGGACGTTTACCGAGTCTCGTTGTGTCGCACTCAAACGTCAGGATTTTCACGTCACGTTGATTAGTGTCGCTGTGACTGATGAAAAAATGGAGCCATCATTATAATCACAAAAAAAAAATCTATTTTATTTTAAGATCTTCATTGATTTAATTTTGCATTTTTTTTACGACAGGCCTTCTCCGTACATCGGTGACCCTGTATATGTACATCCATATATGAATTAAGTAGTATGACAGATCCTTTTCTTCTTATCATCGTCATAATAATCAATCTTCTTTCTTGCTCCTCATTTCTTTAATGACACGTACCTCACATTACATATCAACGAATCCAGAAAAACAGCGAAATTGAGATCCCGACTGAAGCTTCCCTTACGAGACTTCATAACAGGCTGTTAAAAAAATACAAAAATCACTGAGACTAACTAGAAAGAAGCATAACGATTAGCGTAAGGACATAAGGTGAACAAAACTATTGAGTTCTCATGACGCAAGCGAAGCGTAGGAATAAACATTAAAGCTCATCATACAGTAAGCACCGTCACAAGGACCAAACACATTTGTTGATGTTTCACAAACTTGTCCTTATTTTGCGTGAAATCACTCCCATGTTTAACGTTTATGCTTATTGCTATGCTTGTGCTAATGTCTTCGTGTGAACTAGATGTTATTTGGGCTTTAGCCTTATATAAATGCATACTTTAGAAATAATCAAATTACAAACAAAGAATCCAAAAAGACAACAAGCAAATGAAAAAAAAACTAAGCTAAATACAAACAACTAACAAATAAGTAAAAGGCAAAGAAGAGAAAAAGTCTATTTATCAGGAAAAGACGCAAATCAAAAAGCAAGCCGAGTGCTCTTATATAGGTAAGGACAATGTACGGTGYGGAATGAATTAAACGRAACAGTCGTGCGTTCACAGCACGGCCACTTTCTTTTAAACTCATATGGAAACGTCTTCATTTGTTACCTTGTAAAGATTCTCTTTTGAAAGCTCCAATGTAGAATTTCTGCCATATTTAGTAGATTCGAATAAACGAAAATTCCGGTTCTTTGTGTAAACACCTAAAATAATGAGACGTATAACCCATTAGCCTCATCCTTCGTACGTACAAACTCGCACCCTGTTTAACGAAGATCAGTTTTCTCATTCTTTCCTTCACTTTCCCTTTTCTTTCGGGAAGAGAAACATGACATTCTCCGTAAAACATGTAGCCTCAAAACACCTAAAGATAAGAAAAATAGTTAAGTCTACCTTGGTCACAGAAAGTTCCAACCTCTCCCTTGTTATTTGCTACAAGAAGCTTCTTCAAGTCGTGTATAGTTCCTGAAAAAAATACAACAAAGATTCTCTGTCGAAGTACTACCTACCCAGGGGAAGGGACACTGCCTTTATTGATTAAGATACGAAAAGTGGAGTTGTCGGAAATGTTAAAATTGACTCATT